GATGTTGTATTGGTGGAATGCAAACAAACAAACGTCACTATGGTTTATAAAGTGAATGAAACCAATATAATATATATATCTGTACATTTGATCAGTTCATCTTTTTGGATTCATGGCAACGGTATGGATAAAAACACACGCACCATCCCAAATAATATCCCAAAGTAGAGTAGCAAACTATGAAATAATTTTCTTCATCGAAACGTTTATCACTGTTTAATCATGATGCGTCAATATAGCCAGAGTTCAACGTTAATATATCTAGTAGTGTCAACAAGCTGCTTCCTCACAAATAAAAATAACGTCGATAGATTCATGAGCGTTGATGAAACCGTATTCCACGTATTGATGGTGTTTGCTTCCGTCAGCCTCAAGCAATATTTCGACAATATTGCCAGAATTTTAATAGATACATTCGAAAGATGGGCAAACAATTTTGGTACTTCAAGACCGACCGATTCATTTCGATTCGGATTGTTTTATATTCACACATATAGAAAAGATAGTTTAAGAACATTATCCGTCAGTCGAACACAGTACACACAGTACAGTGTCATCATCATATGAAAAGTGCTACTTCAAACAAACCAAATATGAACAAACCATCATTAAAAATATTCGTGGCTTACGTTTGGTTTATGAGCGCCGATTTTGTATAACAAACGCATAATCCGAAATGATGGTAAAACCGATTTTCCACGATTTAACAAAACGCCACACTTCCCAAATAAACATCAGCTTAAACATACAAATCGCATGGTGACATTCGTTTGATTTCGAATTGTATTCAACATTTTTTTCATTCGGAATGCCGTTAAAATGTGAAAAATGGCGTTGATTGAAAATCTAAAACGATTTTCATGAATAGATAAATAGAAAAAAAAAAAGTCAAATTCATTATGTTCAAGTGTAAATGTTATTGTTAGAATGAGTGGACATAAAACAGCAGGCAACCGCAAGAGATCATCATTTGATGACGACTCTCACTGCAGTAAGTGATAGCACTCGAACCAAGTTTTTAGATAAAAACTGAAGAAAATGTACTCTTTAACAAATTACAAACGGCATCACACAGGAATGTGGTTGTTTCAAAACTCAGCGTGATCATTAACAAATTTCAAAGTGAAATGTGTCATAGAAAATTTATAACAAAGATTCTTGAAAATGCATTTTCCGCCCATAACGATGAATAAATTTGCTGTGCTTAGCACAAAATACCATGGAGTCGGGTACATCAAGGGATGTTGAACACTGTTCACTTCATTCGCTCGCTTGCTGTGTACGCACCCGACGTGAGTACTGCTTTTATTTTTATGCTCTCAAATTTACAAATTATTATATTACACGATGATGACTTATACAAAACGTTGATGATGACAACAAAAGTAAGTCGTCTAGTCTTTTTCCAGCATTTCGTATACAGCAGCAGCATTAACAGAAGACGAGAAAAAAAAGAACTTTGTAAATCTGTCACACAGTTTCTATCATGCCACAAAACGTAAAGTACATGATTTACCGACAACAAACTTAGATCGGTTTGGGAATATAATCCGATTTTGTGCTGTACACATCACAAAAGATACCAGAGAAACAGGCACGCCATAAAAATCATCTGAAATTTTTGATAATACTATTAAGCGCATTTTGCCATATAATCATCATTTAATAAAACATAAATGAGGGGATTCACAATTCACACTGTTACAATTCGGTTTATACGCACACAATTTGCCTGATGCGAAATGAAATTCAAAACTTAGCACAGAAAATGCTGTCAATTCAAAATCAAACAATTGAATTCGAAGCTGCCATTTCTCAACCGATATGAGTGGAAAGTATCTATTGTTTTGATTTTTGCTTCTAGGTAAAAAAGAACTTTTAATTGGATCCGAAATACTGTGCAATTTTCCGAATCACATCCAAGACAGTTGCGAATGAGTTCAGTTACACTGTAACGTGATGTGATGATCTCAATCCCTCTCCCCATTTAAACAAACAATAACATTTTGCAGTAAAAGTAGTTTGACTATTGACGGCAAAACCATTAACGTGATTAAAATTCGAACGGATTTGTTGGCACAACAAACAAAACACATTGAATGCCAAAGAATACAATTGTTCATGCAAAAGTTCATCCTACTAAAAGTAAAAACTTCGTATCAAGAGTGCAAAAATGATACAAATTGAATGGATACGTAATGTATTCGGTTAAATTTAAAACACTGGTCAATGACATCAGTTTCTCGATAATGTAGATTATCATTATGCCCATTCGTTTCAAACCTTGCTTCTTTTTGGACGATCTATCTTTTTTTTCACGCTCACAAACGATAATAAATTGATATCATGGCAAATCACATAACAATTTCTTTATTTTCTTTTTTTTCTCATGGCATATGCATTGAATAAATAAAAACCCATTTAATCAAATCAATGAAGGAAAACCAGTCGTGAGAATAGCATTAAGTTATCAAAATATATGAGCTGCAATCAACTCTTCTCGTTCAATTGTGAATAAAGCCGTACTCAAAGTGGGAAAAAAGAGAAAATAATGTTTTCCGTCTTAACACAATTCTCTCATTTCACAGTAATTTTTCATCGGTTATCGCTTTTTTTCTCTATCTACACAAATCTCTGTGTATGTGGTGACATTTTTTTTGTTGTCGAACACATTTCATTCTGAGGCTAGCATGTCAGATGTTTCCTTAGCCGATCACGGAAAAACATGATACCCAATTTTTTGTGCCTTTGTTGTTAAAACTTTTTTTTTCCTCCTCCGCATTTTTCCATCCGATTCTTTTTATATATTATTGCCCCTTGTATGAGAAGAAATGGGGTGTATTAAGAAAGTTTTTTTTGCTTTGCTTTTTTTTCAATCAGTGAAAATTTCTGACTAAAATGTAGCGAACGACATTTGAAGAAGAAAAATTAGAATGGTTAATGTAACAAATGTTGGAATAATGAAAATAAATCCAGAATTCAACAATTGTACTCCAGCACGTATCATATCAAAGTGATAGAAGTACAAACTTTCAAAGTAGCTGATTGCGATTGATGATTCAATAATAATTAATCCAATTTGATACAAATATAAAGTGGGTTTATTTACAAGAAAAAACAACATTTATTGGTTTGTTGAAGAAAGAAAAGAAGCGAGAGTGAGAAAAGTAAGTGGCAACAGGTCATTTCAATCACATCCAAAAACAGAAATTGACTGATTTTGTTCTTTCTTTTCATGACTAACAATGAAAATCGAAAACGAAAATGCGTTTTTATTTGTTCAGTGTTATTGTTCCGAATTAACTCGAATGGCACGTGGAACGTGCCATTTCGACAAATGCTAGTATTTGCTACTTATATCAAATAAATAAAAATATCTTTTCACTTCAGACGTCAATCATAAAAAAAAATGATTGTTCCAAAGGCGATGATGTAATGCGATTGCATAGAAGAAAAAAACTCGTGTAAGACTTGACGTTCATTCGGTACCATTGACGGATGAAAAGTAAATTCGAAAAAGATTGCTTCACATTTATTATTTTCGATTGTTAAATCTACAAAACGCAGACATTCAAATCGTGAATTTGGATGTTCACGGTTTTCACTATCAATCGGTAGCAAAAACGAGTAATTGAAATCCATTAATTATCAAATAAGAATGTCGCAGCTTAAATAGGATATTAAAATACAACAAAACAGTGTGTAAATTTGATGCTAAGCTTAAGATAAGGAGCGCGCGAATGAATGAAAGAAGAAAAAAGTCTCCGATTTCGATGGGTTGTTGGTGTGACCAAAGTCGATAAAACCTTATTCAAATATTAGCCGAGCATTTCAAGTGTATTTAACGTTCACACTTTGTGTACGGAATGCTCCAAAGAAATGAAAAAGAAGGTAAAATCGAGGATTTAACGCGAATCGCTCGAATTTAGCAAAATCTTCAGTTGAATGTCCCTTTTGTACTGCGGACGACAATTTATCTGTGTGCCCCGTTTTTTTTTTTTTTTTGAATTGCACGCTTATCAGCCGTAGTGCAATGAAAATAAAACGACGGAAATTGTTTGAAACAACGACACTGCCAATGGGAGAATTATTCAGTTATTTAGATAAACGATCTTGATGCCATTTCAGTTCAGTTTGTCTTCATTGTTTCACCTTCATAGTTTTTTTTGTCGAAGGGAAACATCACACTGCCAACAGCTACACAAAATGACATTTTACGCTTAGTTGGGATTGAGTTTTTCTATCCCATTTTTTTCTTATCGCTTACTTGTTAATTGAAATAATAGAAATGCTCATTATTAGATCTCATTATTATCTGATGCATAAAATCGGAACAAAATCCCGGAATGAAAGTTTTCTAATTTTAAAAGTTACGGCAACACTGTCAATTAATGTCAAGGCTGAAGATAATTGAAAATGATTTATGGATTCAACGAATGATTATGCTGCCAGTGCAGCTACACATTGAAATACATTAATGACTGACTCTTTCACATATTTTCTATTTTAAATCCATTTAGAGATTATTTGGATTTGACTATTCTGGGTTCGAGTTTTCCGGTCTTGTGTCATTAATTACTTTTGCAATGTGTTGTATGGAAAATTATCGAGAAAATTCCAATATTTCAGAAATATGTGTTGTCGCACCATAGAAAAGTTTCTCGGATGAACATGTTTTTGTATCATTTTTGGTTGAAATAGCGAATTCTTTTCACCAATAGTAATCTTCCTATTCACCAACATTAATCCACTCGGGGTTCAGTTATATTTAAGTCTATTCCTATATGAGGAATTTTTCACATATTTTGAGATGGAGACATTTCTTGAAAAACTTGAAACGATCCCATTTGAAGGGATGTAAAATCCTTTGAGAAGATTGGTATCCGCAAAGTATCTCACAAAAAAGCACCATATTTTCGCTTTCAAATTGATAATTTAATGTTCACGTTTCACATCTAAATCAGTGTTTTTTTTTTGAAGAAGATAAGGTCTTGACTCACTTTTGTTGTTGCCGCTGTAGTTCTGACCTTCGAGTAGTCGTACTTTGAGCAGACGTACTTTTTTGGGGAGTCGGCCCACTTGATTGTATTTCACTTGTTTCTTTTGCCATTTTCTTCAATGTCACAGCCAAAAATATTTTTTTAATTTCTTTTCAAATAAGATCGATTTGAAGGAATAGATTCGGATTCGTTGGCCACAAAAATTCAAATAATTTTAACTTAATTTCACACGGTCTTATTCCCAAGATAACTTTCTCGTGCTTCTTTCAGACTTTTAACTGGCTAATATATGCGGTACATGTGGCATTTGACAGAGATAAGTCTCGACCTGTCAAACGGTCAAGTGCGAAGATAAGAAGAATTGTGAAATCTGCGAGCGAAGCACGCGCATTTAAATGTTAAATGTGAAAAGAAGATTAACGAAATCAAAATCTAACACAAGTTTCAAAATCAACAGATTTTAAATGTTTAGTGAAATTGTGCTCCTTACTTTAAAAAACAAACCAACCTACATAACCTAACCCGTTCCCGATGTTATTTAAATCTGAATCACTCACATATTTTAACATGTGTATATTTTTTGTTGCAACTTAAAAAAAGAACTTGAAAGAATCGCATTGGAAAAGATGTAAAATCCGTTGAGAAGAATGGTATTATTAAAAGAGCTTCTTTGAAGCATAGCCATCTCCGGGGAAATCAGCTAAGCCACAACAGTTTTATCTATTCAGTCATATATGTGTGATAATAAAAACGCATTCAACCCATACGCTTTTATTTGCTCATATAAAAACCATATCATACAGGTGGAACGAATGTGTACGTACTACGTATACCATTCGAAATCTTGCTCTTTCGAAAATTGCACTGAACAAACGGCAACGCTGTTATAATCCCAAATAGGTTTTCTTTGTTCTATGATGCAGAGTGTGCACATTTTAATTTTATCTGAACTGCAATGTTCGTTGTGTGCAAAATGCAAACCATTTTCCGATGATTTGATGGGGTTGAACGAATGCAAAAAAGCAAACGACACACAATGATACTGTATGTGCAAAAGCAATTTACATAAATGCTTTGGTCAGCAAAAAAGGTTTTTAACTAATTGAAAATGCAATGGAGAGAAGGCAACGGCAATTGTCGTTACCATTTTCAATAGAAAACGAACCGAAAAACAAAAACTAAAGTAAATGACAGTGAGGGAGTAAAGAACCATTTAAATGTTCGTAAAACAAACAGAAATCAATTGCTAAGAATACAACACTTTTATTGTTTAAAATGAATTCCACCCACGCTCTCGTCACACTCATTCAAAACGTCACCGCTGTAAATGTGAAATGGAAAACGTATTTGAATTAAATAAATCGTGACGCATTTTGCATAATAGTGGGATGGTTTCTTAGACGCAAATGTTTACTAATTTTGCATATAACCATCCCAAACCGTGTTTTTCAACCGTTGATTCAGAATGAAATGGTAGATTATTCGCAGTACAATGGTTTTTTTTTGTCATTTTGGAGTAAGACTTAAATATTATCCGGAAAAAATAGTGTGAGATTTGAACGAAAGCACTGGCAAATGATGACACGACGTTGGAATGATATGTTTCCTGGTTCAACGCAATTCTTTGATTTTTTTTCGATTCATTCGAAATAACTTTTCTCATTTTCCAAATGATTTCAACGCCTTCGAAAAACCAAAAAAAAAAAAATATGCCAAAAATCAAAATCCATTCGAAAGTATTATTTCTTACCATTAGTAAACATTTCCCATTGCGTTACATAATGTATTAATTTAATAAATTCGTGATTTCGTTGAATTAGAAAGAAAAATGGCATGACTTTTGCTTCACAGGCATCACAGCGATACATATAACTTTCATAAATAACTAGGCCAAATTGGTTGATATCATAAACGATAACAAGGACACAAAGATAATGGCACCACTGCGAAACAAATTGAAGCGGCAGATTTCCACACATTTCCAATAAATCGCATATATATATTTTTTCTTGAGCAAAAATTTTATTCCATGCCCATAGACAAGGGTGGTCGTTTTTTTTGTTTTATGGATGCCTCAATTGACATTCATTTCGTAAACACTGTGAGAACAAAGTATTTTACATAAGAGTGGCCGGATTACTGCTAACAAGGCTAGATAGTTAGTTTTCTTCGTCATGAGCAAGTCATAAAACATGAACTTATGCGAGAAGTTATGTTGATTATGTCGTTGTTGTTGGTGTTGCCATTGGTTTTTATCACTCTTCTCTCTCTAAAAATCATATCTGTATTTGGTCGAAAAATATATGAATGGGGCAACTTACTACACACAGTAGTTACGGAAAAGAATGTGAAAAAACTAAACGAGGATTCATTCGTTGGCGGCGCCAAGACATCAGTCTCGCCACGTTGTCTACTCATGTTCGCTGGTTTGGACGGTCGATGTATGCCGTAGTATTAACCCTCTTTGCTGTGTGATTCAACCGCAGTGGATGCTGCAACACAAAAAAAAACATAACCATAACACAACAACCAGAACGAAAGAATATTCTGTGTGCGTGTGTGGCGCCAATTCACTGATAAATTGGCTCTATGGGAGACACTCGTAAATCGCTCCCGTTTTTTTTGTTCGATATTCTTTTTGAATGTTTTCATGCAATAACGCAGCTTCTTTTATTTGTCTATTCTTGTCGTTCAAATGAATAAAGCGAAATAACTTCATTTCTAGCGATTTTATTAAAGTTGTACTACACTATATGTATGTCAACGTCGCCGTTATTCTTTTTATCGATTGTATCGGCGTGAGTGTGTACATTATTCGTTTCATTAGTACGCCAGAAAATGTTTTTACGGAAATATTTAAAACATTATTATCATTGTTTTTTTGTAGAGTTCAAAACGGACCCAATTAAAATGCCACAAAAACCAGCACATAATAGTTAAATCGAATCAATGGAACGTGCTTAAATGTCAGTCGAAAAGTCTTAAGTATCTTAGTAAATATCTAAACACAAGACATTAACTGTAGGTTATGCCTTACGTCATGTACGATGGTCGTGTCATTTTTTTTATACTCTTCATCGAATTTTATTTACAATTCATAACGCAAACTATTCAGTTCATTCCCTTGCCAAGTTATTTCGATCGATTTATTATTCTGCAATATTCTTCCGATACGAGGGAACACACACATAGTCCAAAAATGCAATATAAAAATGAAACTCATTGTCACGCTACACGATTATAGTGTTCTCATTCGCATTTTTTTTTTAAAGAAACGGAAACGAGACTATATAGAGCACTATATGCTCTGAAAAGATTCATTTCATCGAAAATGATGAAAGGACCTTTGGATTACTTCATTGTTCTGGATATATGCTATCGATTCGTTTGGAATTTTTCACTTCTTATTCGCAAAAAAATAGAGTCATCGCCATATCATTCTCAATATTTTCACTTTCCTCATTTTGACCCTTGCTTCTTCATAACTGCTACCGCATTTACTTCTATTATAGTAGCTTCAATATTCAGTAGTGATTGTATTAAATTAAGAATGTTGCAATCGATAAAAAAATAAATGCATGCATTACCCCTTCCAAAAGGAGATGTGTCCTCCCCCATCCACTTACATTTGACTTTTAGTTTTGTTGTCGTTATTTTCCTGCGTTTATTTATTACATTTCGTTGATAATACAATGGAAAATGATTAAATTATCGTCATTTTTTGTTTTTGGTGTTGTGATTCCAAAAAGCTTTTTATTCGTATCGGCCTATGCGTGTCTGAGCATAGCGTCAATTGGAATTGACGACAATTTAGCGTCCCATAATTTGATTTGATGAAAGTAAAAATCAAATTTCCGATGATGGCATGTCTGTGGCGTGTACGTTGTTTATACCATGACGTCGTTACAAATTTGCTTTTTAATGTTTCACATTCAATGACAGCAACAACATATAAGTTTCGGTTATCTGCGAGTCTTTTTTTTGCGTTTTATTTGTACGACCGCCTCTATACAAGAGGGTATTTGATCTAGTCTTTAATTACATTTCCTTTTATTCAGGATGGGGCTAAGCTGCGAAACATATGATATTCATTAGAGTCTGAATGGATCAGTTAAATCATGAACATAATAGAGGACGACGTTTGGTCCAAAGCGTGACAACTATTATGAATATATGTTCCCTTTCCGTTGTGACCGCGCAACAAATTTGAATGAAAAGCATTAAACTCATCTTCAATACAGGACAGAAATACACACAGATATATATTATATCAGATTTCATAGGTTTTTCTACAAAAAAAATCTTCAACTTTGAAGTTGAAAATGATACAGATTTTCAACCATTCATTATGAGCGCTTTAGCTATTGTGGTTGCTGTCCTTTTAGTTGGTTGCGGATAAATGACTTTTTTTCAGTCTTTTTTTTCTTTAGAGGATGAGAGACAGAGAGGGAGGCAGTGATTAAACAATAGATGAATAGAGTGATTGCGAGAGAGAAAAAGACAGAGAGATGGAGATTCTGGAGATAGGAAGGTAAAATGAAAGAGTATCGATAAAATTTACCACAAAGCACGTTTGAAGTGCACATTGGCATAGCGCAAAAACACTCACAAGTGTTCAAGTAGCAAATATTTTATAAGCTCCCTGTAAAGCAGTGTATCGATTAAAATCTTGACAACATTATGCAGCATCTAGAAAAATCGAGACATTTTTTGATAAGAACTGTGCGCTAAAAGACTATGCTAATGTGCCATGTCATTTGAATGAAAAAGAAGTCGACTAAAAGAACTTAATCACGAAAAATCAATGTGAGTGCATTGGACGTCAATAGGCCGAACGAATAAGCCATGGATTTATGCAATAATGCTCATATTGGAATGATGATTTCACATTTTTATTGTTATATTACATAAATGTTGGATGAACTCAGTCCTTTTGATTGATAGTATCGAATTCATTGTATTTTATCGATATTACATTGTATTTTTATTAATGATACATTAACTTAAAAGTTAACATTAAAAATAGCTCAAAAGAACCGCAAAGCATTCCTGGGTCAGAGAAGTACACTTCAAAATCTAGCATTTACCCGCAAACAGCCATTGTATGAATCAAAACTCATTTTAT